TGTATTATGGGGGGGAAAAGGGCCAGAGAGTGGACAACTGTGATCTCCCAGGGCCTGAACCTGCTCTGGCTGGAGCTAATGGGAATTTCTTCCACGATTCAACAAAAAGTAGCCTCAATCTGCTTGGTCTCTGCCTAGTGTAGCTCCCCATGATTCTTGGTATCTCCTTAAGGGGAAAATCAAACAATGCTTCTTTCAAGTGCATTTCAGTCATGAAAAAATTATTATCTTAAGCCACCGTATTGTTCAGGTTCTTCTGATGGGCTTAATGTTACATAACCAAGTTGCAGCTTTAGTGAGGATATCAACTGCTCTCAGACCAAAAGCAGCTCATTTTTTCCCCAAACCTTTCAGTGTATCTCACTGATGCTTACTTTTATAGAAAGAATGGTGCCCAAGTGTTCATCTGTTAGGCAAAAGTAGAAATGGAGATGAATTTCATTGCTTCTCCCTGCTACCATCACTTGATATATGTATCTAGCCTGTGTAGGCTACTGCTATAGGAGAGTAGTAAATGGCTCCCATAGCACATACCTGAAACTACATTCAAAGTGCAAGAGCTGGTCTAAGGATTAAAGGCATCAGATCTGCTCTTGATTCAGAAGTATTTTTGGAAAAATAATGAGGATACTTTATCCTCCTCCACAAGGATGCTCCAACTGAAATTAGAGGCAGTACCCCCATTTAATTGTGTGGGAGGAGAACTATGGCTCTTAATTTGCAGAACTGCAGGCAAGGAAATTTTACACAGAAATAGGGGTGCTCTCTCACACCAGTAGCTCTGTGTCACTGTTGTAACCCAGGTGAAGCCAAATGCTGAACTCTGAGTTGGTGCTGTCGGTGCAGAGCAGCCTCCTTCGCATTGCTCTGGATTTCCATCTGGGTGAGCAGAGCAGCTCATGGAAGGAACCACAGGCATTGCCATAACTGCTGTGGACAAGCATTCCTGGTTCAGTTCAGGAGGGAAAATCAGAAGCGTCGCATGTCACACTAGAATATATATTTCTATCAAAGTTAAAATACTTGGCAAAGTGGATAGTGCCTGTAGAAATTTTATTTCTGAAGAATTTCAGAAAAAGAAAGAGTTGATATCAAGTTTCTACCTTTCGGATATTAAATTCTTTGTTTTGTTTTTCTTTTTCTTCTTTTAAACGGTTTCTTATTTGAAAGTGTGTTGCTGTACATAGTAGAAAAGCATATTTTTAAGTTATGATGGATTGAACCAGACCATTCCAAGAAGCCTCTGACACACAGATATGTACTTAGCCTGAGATTCAGAATGTTGTTACTTTTAAAAATCTTTAACATCCTTTGTTACGCGGAAATTCCCTCCTTAGTCCAGAGCAGGCAGTGGCAGTTGCTCAAGCTCTGAACAGGAGCAGCAGTGAAGTAAAACACAAATGAAGGGAAGACAATTGTTAAGTATATTCAAAATTGCTGAATGGGGATGTGTGAGACTTTCCAAAAGGTTTGCAAAGAATAGCAACTCTGTCTCCTCTCTGGCAATACCTTACGTTCTCTCCCCCTTGAGATTACCATCAAAATTATTAATTGTTCAAGCTTAGATTAATTCAGACTTTTCCTGATTAGTTCTGTGTTTGGTTGCTCGATGTTGTTATTCAGGACAGCTGATAGTCCTTCAGAATCTACTTATTTATTCATATTTTGTTTGAAAGAGGGAAACATAACATCAAGAGCTGCTATTTACTACAACAATGCAAATTTAAACTGTTAAAACCACAATAGCTTTTATAAATAATGGGAAAGGAGAGGTAAATGAAAAAGCTTTCATACAAAATGAAATTAAAAAACCCCAAAAAAGTGCACAAGAACATAAAGTGAATTGCACATGTTGCAGTAAAAAAAATACAGTAACCTGGTCATGAAACATTCCTAGAACATTTCACATAAAGTCATCATCTCTGAAGGAGTCTATCACACTCAGTAAAAACAAGTCACTTTACCTTGCACTACAACTACTGATCTGCTTACAAAACCTGGTTTGTTTGGGATTTGGGGTATTTGTCTTTTCATAACTTCTAGATAGATGTATTGAATGCACATTGAATTTGTGCAGATTCAGTGTTGTGCACAAAATATTGTGTCAACGACCGGAGTGGAGAGGTAGTGGGCTCCATTTTAGTGCAAATAAATGTAAACTGAGTGTGTGAAGATTTGCTGTAAGGATCAAGCAGAAAGGAGTTAATAACACTGTAATTAGCAGATTCCCCCTCTAACAGACTCTTCTCTCCTCAGTTTCTGTGCACAGTGTGCCCGTAGACTTCCCACAATTGTGATACGTTCCCAATCAGACCAGTGCTCTCTAGCTCAGTGCCTCCTGCTCAGGACAGATGGTTGAGACCAACCAGGACATGGGTGAACCAACAGAGGCGAAGGTCTCTTGGCTGGAAGAAGAAATGGGCTTTCCATGTTTGCTCCACTCGAACTTAGTTTCAACTTGCAAGATTTTGGCATTCTTAACAACGTTGGCTCAGAGGAAATTCCCAGTTTGGGATATCTTTTGAAATCCCAGCCCTGTGCTTATGCATGGAGTTGGTGATTGTGAAATCTTCTATCAGCCAGCGGTCACCAGGGCTGTCATTGTACACTAAACATGTGCTAAGTAAATGGTCTTCACCAAGGTGTGTCTGTATCCATCACTCTCTACGACTCTGTTACAATCATTTAATTTCAAGGAATTTTCTACTGATTTTTATCAGTGTAAGACCCAGATCTTCGCTGTTCAGTCCCATAAAGTGAGAGATGCACGAACTCCACAGGTGATGTTCTATCTCTCAAGCTATCGCTTACCAATACAGAGTCTTCACTGGCAAAACTGGTCTAAAGATTTCTCGTTCCCTCCATCCAGTATTTTTCCAACCTGAAGCAACTCCCCATTCACACTTCAGGAGACAAGGGGGTAGATCCTAAACTGGTATTAATGGAATTTCAGCAGTGCAGGAATCTCACTTGATTTTCCAAAGCTTTGCAAGAAGATCACTGTTCAGTGTAAGCTGAAATCTGTTGTTTTTGAAACCTTTTTTGCATTTCGGAAGGGAACAGCTATGGACAGAGTGCCCATAGCTGTAACCAATTCTTCTTCTGCTCACATCTTGTCCCAGAAATGCTGAACACATTTCACGCAAAACCATCACAAATCCTGAACCTGTGTGCCCAGACAGACTTGTATGTGTGCAACACACTTTTAGTCCTGTGTTAAGGTATAAAACTCCACACAAACAAAACTCAGTGCAGTGCATTTTCCCTACTTACATTTCTATCTGATTCCATGGATGGTATGCAGGCCAACAAACAAAACCAGATCTGTCAGGTCTCTGGTGGGGAATCCAGACAAGCCATGGTGCATATATCCATTGCCACCTAAGGTAAGAATGAGTGTGCTTCTAATGTAAAATCTGCAGAGATGTAGTTCCAAACTTAGGCTTTTCCATCCTTACTGAGGTGCCTGGTCAGGAATGAGGCACTCATCAAACCAGTGGTTCAGCAAGTCACACCTGTCAATTGCGCTGTAGTCACTGCCAATAACCCCTCATGGGCTCCTCGGCCTCCCCAGCTGTGAGGGAATGTGACTTGTTAAAAACTTCAATAAAAGAATTTCATGGACAATTATAGCCGTTCAGCTGATAGATGGTAACTTGTTAAGCTGCCATAAATCAGTTGTGGATCTGAGCTGTAAATAGGTGACCTAATTTTCAAAGAAGCTGAGATAACTTAGTGTCAAAGGGAGCTGATAGATACTTCAGACTTCAAAAGTCAGAAAATTTGGGGCTAAATCCTAAGACTTTTATTCTGCCTGTGTAATATCTGACACCAAATGTGGTCCTATTGACTTAAGTGAAACTACACCTGGTGCAAGAAACTTAGCATTGTTTAGGCACCTGAATAAAGTTTTGGAAGCCTAATTCTGGGTATTAATTTTCATAAATATCAAAGTTTGACTTTCATAATTTTAAAATAATCTCTTTTTTCTTCCATTGATGGTACTGTGATAGCCACAGCGGTCCAAGGAGGGAGGAGAGGGTAGGTTTTGTACGGACAAGAACTTCTAGGGGAGCAACAGATGAAGCTGCCTCTCCCTATGTACCCTGCTTCTCTCCTTCACATCACTTTCTACTCATGCTCCTCTAGGGCTTTATTCTTTTCTGACACCAGCTTTATGACAGAGTAAAGCTACTGGTTACAGTGCAGCTACTACTAATTTACACCAAAAAACAACCAAACTCAGAGTTCCCTTCAAATCCCCAGTCCAGTAAATTTTCTCAAGCAGAATTTCACCTACTTCCTATTGTAAATGTAATACAACATGAACTGTATTTACTATGTGCAAATACAATTCTTACATCCTTCTTAAATAAAACTTCCCTTGACTTTTAAAGGAATCAGCATTTCTGGATTTTAGTCTATTAAAAAAGTTCTGAGCTTTGAATGTTCAGAAATCAAGTACTCTACTCAATAAGAAAGGTCCAAAAAACGAAAGCAAAAGTGTTAGCAAGATGGTGTCAAAATATCAGAAATTAGCAACCAGCACACACAGCAGAAATCCAAAAAGTAGAATAGAAACTAAAATAAAAATCTCAGTCAGTGATTGTTTTCCCAAATATGTTGAATCTTGACCATTTCTGAATTGTGATCACAGCAAGGATGCTAAGCTCCACCACTTCCCCAGGGCACCTTTCAGTTCTTCACTGATACTTGCTTGAGCACTATTCATTTTCAGTGTCGGCTTTCAATTCTTGTTCTTTGCAGACCAAGCTCAGAGGTGAATCATCTGTGTTTTCTCTTGGAAACCCTAACAACAGTCCTATGTTTAGCTCTCTGACTCCTCCATTTCCCTCTCATTCATGCTCCAGAAGCATTTGTCTCTTAGATTAGTCATTGGAGGGCACTTGACCAAGCCAGCAGCAATTTGTCTCCACTGTGCAGGATGCGCGCCCTTGCCATGCCAATGATGCTGGATGCCATGTCTGGTGTGCCTGGGGTCACTGTGTGTAATCGTGCTGTAGGTATCGAATCAGTCTGTCTGGGAGAGGCAAGGTGTTGAGAAGTTCAATGCGGTTTCTTCCAACCAGGCTTCGTACCTTGACACGGCAAAGATGGGAAAGAGGTCGTGGGGGCTCTGAAAGACAGAAACATGGTCAGAAACGTGAGCAGAACAGGTTTAAACTTGAGAGAGACAGCTTCGGTTAGTGGCAAGAGGAAAATGGAGAAGGAGGAATGAAAAGAGGGGACTTCTCTGTAACGGAGAAGTGACGTGTCTGGCATTGGTGGCAGCTCATCTGTGCTGAAGCACAACATAGGGCAGGAAGCCGGGCTGGAAGATGGGGTGCTGTATGCCATCTCAGCCTTAGTAATAGGCTTTTTAGGATGACTTAAACAAGCCTCTTCACAGTACTCAGGCTTGCCTTTGAAAATAAATGTAATATGTACAAAATTTAACTTGGTGCCAGAAAACTAATTCCAATATTGTCTATGGAAGACTTTGGATCCTGAGAGAAAGGATGTTTAGGACAGCAGAATATTAGTGAAAGCTTTAAAGGCCACTGGTGCTTGTTGGGCTGCTGTGGAGATGGTCACACTGCCCACCTGCCCAGCAATTTCTGGTGCCTCATACCTGGTCCAAAATCTGATTCAGTCTCAAATCCTATGAAGTTTAAGGGATGAACACTAAGATGACTGAGGTTTTGAATTAGGTAGTGGGAGTTATTGTCCTAGATTCATTCCAGGGTGACCATACCTGCTTTTTCTTTAATGACAGCCCAGTCCTCATAGCTGTCAATGTGCTCTTTGAGCCGGGAGCAGAGCTGCACGTTACCCACATAATCCAGGAGAACATCAATGATCGGCCCAGCCCAGCGACTCATCTCTGGAGTAGACACCATTTCGCAAAACTTCAAGGAAAAAGAGATTGACTACTGTCAGTGGGATGGGAATGTACCCATGGAAACTGCAACAACAGCAACAGCCCTGACTGAGTTGGTGGTCCCACCCTTCTACCAGTTGTGAGGGCAATTACCAGTTTTCCCTCAGAAAACTTCAACTAAAGTCTGGTTTTTTTCACAACTGAAGGCATAATCCCCTCTTTACAACTACAGGAGGACACGAAACCCTTGTGGAGTCTTAGCTCTGGAGCATGGAAAGGATGCTGAATTGTCTACAGGGTCCGAAGGTCCTACTTCCACAGAAATGGGAGGGCAGAGGAGTGCTCACAGCTTTGCCTCAAGCCAAGGAGCTGCTGAAAGATCCATACAGCCCAGGGTGCTGTGGCCAGGGTGCTGGGTTCCTTCCTCTGCTTGGGAGGGGCCCTGTGGGGCAACTGTGCATGAAGGACACTTAGGGAAGATTCAGCAGAGCATAGCACTGCCTACTTCTGGTGAACTCACTGGTATCTGCAGCTTCTGGGGACCAAACACGTCACTAGAAACAAGCCTGGGGAAATCTCTGCAGAGATGAATCCCAGGCAGTTTTACTTGCCCATGGGAGAACTGTCCTGGGCCTAATACAGAGCAAAAGCATCTTCCTTACTCACTCCTGGATTGGTCAAATCTTCTTTTGCCCCCAGTGTGAGCTGCAGAGTGCTCAGAGCTGTTGCATGGAGGGCTGCTTATGGAGATGCTGAATAACAGACTTAAGGACCTGATTTTAAGCAGTCTCATTTCAAAAAAGTACTGACTTCTCTTCCCACTTTAATCTAAATATGTGTATTATACCAGACAGCTTCATCTGTCTCTGTTAGGGTGCTGCATATGATGAAGATATCTGTGGACTTATCTGCATGTGAGCAGCTAGAAAATTTAAGATTAATTAAATCACTCTGTGTGGATAAGAACAGAGGCACATGGCCAAACACAACTGAATGATGGTGGCTTAAGCACCATCCATCAGCTTAGGCACTGCGACTGTCTGTAGGCACCCGCCGAGCCCACCCTAAAGAGGAAATAAAATGCAACAGCTTAAACCTCTTCAAGTTTAAGCTCCTGTAACTAGATTACATTTGATTATACATGCATGAGTCCTAACTCAAAATGCATTCAACTCTTGTTTGGATACTCCTATTCAGAAATAAAGTCATATTAACTCACCCAGAGAATAAAGCTGCAGAAAATTATAAGGTCATTTTATTCAAAGGGAGAGAATGCTGAGAGCATTGACAGAGGTGTTTACTATTCTGACACATTTTTTTTCACCGAGCATCACCATGCAATGTTTCCTGGAAAATTAGTTACAGTAATTTTGGGAGGATCCCAGCAGACAACCTATAGTTTCCTACCTGGATCACTTATGGGAAGCTTGGTTTAGTTTGTCTGGCTGTCAAGCCCCAGTGCATATGCCATTGCCATGCAGTTACCCACAGGACGTGCAAACTGAGGATCTGCACCATGACCTCCAAGCAGTAACTCTGTCAGAGTTTAAATGAGGATATGTGTAGGGCAATAAAACACTGGATCTCACTGCTCTCCTCTTCATGCCTCCGCCAGAGATCTTGTCTGCCTGTTTCTCTCATAAAATGTTCCAAAACACATTGCAGGAAAAGAAGCAGAGCAAAACGAAGCAAAATCATGCAAACGTGCAACTACAGGCAATGGGACTGACTGAGGGACAAAGCGACTGGGAGCCTGCGGTCTCGGCAGGCCCCTGAATGCCCTCTCGCGGCTGTAGGACACTTCACTCCCTGCCTTCACGGTTTTGACACTGCAATTTTGGAAATGCGGGGTGAGACAGCAACCATTTTTCTGTGTTTGCTTCCTCCAGGACACATTAATTTAGTAGCAGCAGTAAGGATTTATAGTTCTGCATTTTTCAAACCCCCTTCCAGAGGCTCATAGTCTTTATTGTGTGAAGACTAATCATTCAGATTTATTATCCTTACGTAATCTTATACTAGAAAACAAAAAATGACCATATTTTGTGTAGAGAAGGCTATAGTTTCATGAGATCCTCTATATTTCAGAATACAAACCATATCACAACTGTGTCATGAAGATACACTGCACAAGTCTTACTTTTATTAGACAAATTCCAAGCGGTAAGAAGCAAATTTAAAATAATATTGGAGGGAAAGGATTGGTTTTTCTCTGTATGCATTTGTCCCTCACAGGTCTCTCTAGGCACACACACAATTTTACACAGCTTTTGCTGTCTCTGCCTTATGTGGTCTGACCTTTGAGGTGATGACTCTGTGAGTGACCTAATATTTTGTGGGGCGCTAAAAGTAGTTATAGGTGACATCCAGAGAGAAATAATGTGCTTAAATAAGTAAAAACAGAACTGGTTTTGAGTGGGTGGGATATCATAGGGGGCTACAGACAAACCCCCTCTCCTTGCCTTGGAATTCCAGCCCTCTGTTCTCCCTACCTGCTACCACATCGTGGTTCAAGAAGTAGAGATGATGAATTTCATTATTCGTTCTTTGACAAAAAAATGTGGTGTCCTTGAGCAATTTTTCTGTGACAAACACTCTCAAGGAGAACATAGCTCTGTTTGGGATAAGAGATTATTTTGATGGACTCTTACAGTCCTCTTTCTAAGATTTCTTTTTTGCTTGTTTGCTTCCCAGACGTGTTACTGGAGAGTAAAATCTTTTGAAAGACACGACCGATTAAAGGGTCAAGATTTCCTAGAATCTTTTAATGCTTTCCTTTAGTCTTACCACAGCCAAGGAGCATTTATTGGTGACCATCTCTTTGGGCTAAATGACACTTCTGAATTCCTCAAAGCTACACTGAAACTAGATATAAGCTGATTTATTTCTTCTCTGATTCTTTGCAAAATAGAAAGACTGCCATGCTGAGACTTCTTTGTGGTGTTGCATGTTGAAGGATAGCAAATTTTGATTGGAGAATCAGATTTAGTTTGGGATATATTGGATGGAGTCAATATGCAGAGATCAGAAATAAAATGTGCAATCCAAGATCCTGCAAATCCTTTGAGGGGTTGAGAGTCCAATTCCAGCACAATGGAACCTGAGCCCAGCTGCGCTTTGGAAAGGACGACAAAGATACACAGGTAAAATGTGGATATCTAAAACTGTAAGTGGCTTTGAAAGTATGAAATTATGGATCTAGATCTCCTAATCTCTTTTGAAAACTTCAAATATAATGCACAGTCGTATAGCTAAAGTAACTATTTACGCTCTCTCTCCAGGGCTGCTTATCCAGTAGACTTGGAAATTGCAACTATTTACATTCATTAGTTTACACTCATAAAGCGAAGCACTAGACAATTTTAATTCAACCAGGAGCTTAAATTCCGTATCAGACAAAACAAGAGGCAAATAAAACAAGCATTTTCCTACTGCCCATATGCTACTGCCTGTAAAGGAAACATTCTTCATTCCTGGCACCTCAGGTCCAGAGGAAAAGAATATTGTAGATCTCATGGAAAGGCTGTCAAGGCGGCTATAATTCATTGCAAATTCAAGCTAGGGCCACAGGAGCTGATTCCTATCCTCCTGCTGCCATTGAACATAGACTTGGAACATTTACAGGCTCTTATTGAACCTTTTTTTTCTGTAAATAAAGTAGGAATAAAGGCATCTTCTCTCACAGGAAATTTGGGAGAAAAAAATATGTTAAAGTTTTCTAGTAGGAAAGGTCCTCAGAAGTACTGTAGTTAGACTAGACAGTGCTTACCTGTACTACAGTTGGCTTCTTGGACAGCTGAGGATCATTAAGTCTGTCCCGTCTGTAATTTAAGGCAGGGTGTGGGCCATTTCCATACTGACACTCGAAACAGGAACCTGCATCACAGCCCAGATCCAGGAGATACTTCAGCAAGGAAAGATACTTCATCGAAAACATGATGGTAGCTGGAAATGCGGTTGGATGGCTTGATATATAGGCATCAATGTTGGCTCCATGGTCAAGGAGCAGTTTCATGGTCTTCAGGCAGCCCAGGCGGATGGCGATGAGTAAGGGGTTGATGAGGTCAACATTGGGGTTGGCTCCGGCTTGCAGCAGGAGTTCCGTGGCATAAATGTTGTTGTTAAAAACAGCAAAATAGAGGGGAGTGGTGCGTCTGTCCTCGTAGAGGTAGGACCGTTCGTCGGAAAGGATAGTGTTGACTTCATAGCCAGCATCGATCAGCTCTTCCAAGATGTCATCGTTGTTGCGCTCAGCTGCTAAGTGCAGGGGGCTGATGCCACTGCGCTTGACACGAGTGCGGCTGGTCACAGGGATCAGCATGGAGACAATCCTGCCGGGTGGAGAGTCAGCGAACAGCAGTGAGCTCTAGGGGATCTACAGTCGTACGGCAAACTGTAGCTCTGTGGTTGTAACCATAAGAGAGGTGCAGGCAGCTCCTAACTTGGGCACAGAAACAACTCTCTCTGAGAGAAACCAGAGTGTGTGAACTTGAAACCTTTCAACAATTCCCTGTGCCTAAAATGTGAGTTGTGTGATCCCCTCTTTCATGGAGGAACAAATTATTTTGAAATTACCCCCCAGTTTCTATGAGCTAGTGACAGCTAGAGGGACAGTTACAGTGGAAGAGACGATGTGCTGGTACCTCACCTATCCTGTTGTAGCTCTCTTAGGCAGGGCAGGACTGGAGGAACAGGCGCACAGCCACCGGCCTGAGGTGCCAGCAGAGAGGCTGTATCTCCCCATCTCCATTGGGATTGCTTTATTGCTCAGAGAAAGGCAACAACACAAGGCATTAGTATGCCTCCTGGGTCCCAGCCACAGAAAGAAGCTTGAAGATCAGGAAGGAGGTGAAACCAAACTGTCCTCGGCAGGACTGAGCTAGGATGAATTACATATTTGGTTTCCAGACATTACCCTGGATTATCCCCATCCTGGAGGCCCTCACTGTGTGGCTTTTCACTGTGATAAATCCATGGGGCTATCAGCGTCCATCCCAGATAATGGGGAGTAAAAAAGGCAGTTAAGAAAAGGGAGAAAAAGAAATAAAATTATTTTCCAGGGTGGTTTCCATGCTTTAGCCAAGGAGAAAAAATGTGCAGCCAAGCCCTAAACCCCAGTAATGAAGGGACTGCAATTGGAAAGTGTGAGTGCAACATAAATCAAGCTGCTCTCATTATGTAACGTGAATATACGTAATGTGTAGTTATGATGTACAGGAGCCTTGCAGTCACAAAGCTGTGATGGTTTTTATGTCTCCATAGGTGTCATTGGAGTTGCATGACCAGCCTCATGGGTTAAACTCTCACCTCCTACTTACCAAGTTGGGTGTTTTAGTGAAAGTTGATTCTGTAAATACAGAGAAGTCACCTTAAGCTACTTCCAAAAAGAGACTAGGGAACATCTAACCTGAGTCTGCTTGCTGTCTCAGGAGATGCCCCTGGTCCCTATATAATGCTTGGGCAGAGAGGGATATCTGAAAGAGGACCTTGTGGGAGCAAGCTAAGCACACTTTCTCTTCTTCCTCCCACGTAGACTCCTCCATCTAGCAGCCAACAGCTCTCCTAACACACAAATGTGCAAAGCTCAGTTTCCTACCCTGTAGTGTGTCTCCTTTAAAATGCTGTGTATCTTCAGCTTGACTGCAATGGCTGATCCCAACACTGGGCCCTCAAACATATATTTACATAATGAACCAAGTCAAATATAAGTGTTAGTCTCAGGAAAACCTTTGTCTGTGAGGCATTGAATGATCCTGTGAAAGACTGAGCCTCCAACGCTCCCAGGAGCTGAAATAAGAGTTGAAGATGCATAACACTTTACAGGGTTACGTTCCTATTTACATGATGTCTCCAAGTGACTTCTACATCTCATTTTTAAACAAAAAAGCTTTTAAAATTATTTAAATATCTTCAGAAATTAAGAAGAGGGTTGTTTTTTATTCCAAGAAGCCTCACTAACCTTCCAATGATGCTCACCAGGGAGCAGGAGGTCTGGGTGCTGGTGAGCTGGCAACTTCCCACCATTAGCAAATGTTCTGTAAGAGCCATAATAACAAAAAGGGCACAGAGCACGGCGAGGACGCTATGCCAAGTGCCAGCATTAGTCATCCCATGATCAACTGTTTTGAAGATTTAAGGGTCTGTTTTGTTCTTTCCCTCCAGCGTGAGTGCTTCAGCCACACATCTGAGTTAAGGAGGACCTGCATAATTTCTGTCTGCAAGGAGGACCCAAACCTTGCTGCAGGGGTGTCACCCTGAGGCTCTGAATCCAAATGCTGCAGTGTCCCAGGCCTCAGTACAATCCCTGTACCTCAGATTTATTTTGGGAGCCAAAGCAGGAAGCATCAAATTTGTATCAGAGTTTAATTTGGTAGCTTGAACCTGTCTCTAACCCTCCGAAGTCGGGTGGTTTAGTAATATGGTGCCTCCACCACCACTGCAGTCTTTCCTGTCTGCCTAGAGGGAGAAGGGAGCTCAAGTGAAGGCAGTCAAGGCTGGGCAAGCCAGACCACATCCCATATATACAGGACTGAGCTTCATGTACAGTTTTGAAACAGTGCTGAGTTTCTCCTCATCCATGACACCTGCTTTTGTGATATCTATTTGATAGAAATTACATGGCGGAGAAGACAGAGCATCCTTAGCATGACCATGCCAAGAGTTTCTTGATTTCCATTTACATAATAAATCCACCCACGCTTCACAAAGTCTTCCCTTCTCAGCATCTCAGTTCTGAGGGGGAAGGAGTCAAATGATGGCTCGCGATGGTCCTACAGCTTCCCTTACGAATTTCGGGTCAGTATTGACAAGGTGTCATTTAAAATAAACAAACATCAAGTAACAAGAGTTGACAGTTGAGCCTTGGGACCACATTCTTGGCTTTTTGATGGTAGGGAGCCTTCGTGCCCTGGCAAAAAAACTGAAGCAAGGAATTCCTGCAGAATTACGTATTAAATCTGCAGGAATACAAAGAGAGGTCACCATGAAGGGTGTTATTTTACTGAATACCAAAGGAATTAAGAATATTCAGCCAGTTGGGCTAAAGCTTTGTCATTCAGATAAATATTTATAGGAGAAGATATTTTTCTTTTTTCTTTCCTTGGCACTTAGTTTGCAGCAGTGGTGCACAAAAAATGTGTTCAGCCTTTTACATATGAGGGAAGTCAGGTTTTGGGTTCAATTCTGGTCTTATTTACACTGCTGGTTGCTGGCAATGATAGACGTGAGGTCTGAATCAGGCCCTTTTTTCATAACATTGGGATGGACTCAGGTTGCAGTTTCCATGTAAATGTATTTTCACGTTGGGGTGTGAAACTATAGAGGGGAGGAAAAGATTCAGAGAGCTGGTCCAGACCCTGCATACAAACTGGATTCAGACCAACTCACTGAGATCAACTCAGATCAACTTTTTTGAAAGTGAGCAACTGGAGCTGGGTTCTGTCTCTAGCACATTTCTCATCCAAAATGTGTTTGTTTTCAACAAAATGCCTTTGTAACTCAAACCCCGCAGAAAATTTTGAATCATGCCTGGATTAGTCTATGCAGGGTATTCATATGCATGCTGTAAGCACATAAACCCATTACAGAAAGTCTCCCTGGACTGCCCTCTAAAATGCACAGCTTGCTCAGAGAAGCAGGCCTACTCTAACGACAGAAAATTAACATCTTCAGGACCATCAAAGTGATTTGAGAAGCTTAATTTGGATTCCTAAGCAGACCTAAATGCTAGGATAAAAGATGTTACGGGAAGGTGTAGTGCTGACAAAGGTTTTAATTTCTCAGACATAAAAGAATCTGAAGAAGGCCAGGCCTCGAAAAAGCCAGGTAAACAAGATTTACGTGAAAGTGCAGCAATCCCATCCCTAGACAGCACCTTCCAAATTGAAACCCTTTATCACAGGCTTAGTGGAGTTTCTCCCCCTCCTATCTACATCTCTACTTTAGAGGACTGCTAAATTGAACCAATTTCTGGTTATTTTTTACATTAGTTACTTTTCTCACTCTTTAAAGAATGTGCTCAACTCTATCCCAGACACATTTAATTTCAGAAACAAACCACTGGATCTTTTTATGCATCTGTCTATTACATTTAAGAGTAATTTAATCAGTCAATCATAAAGTATATTTTCAAGACTGTGAGTAAGTCTCGTGCTTCTTTTCTGAAGCCTTTCCAATATCCTGAAAGGTTTCTGAAAGGGAGGATACCAGAACTGGACACCGTCTTCTAGCAACAACCTCACTAATGCCCTGGAGATTCACTTAACCACTTCCTGCTGTCAGCATCTGAATTATTGTTAATAAAACCTGAACACAAGAGAGATGAATGCAGCGTGTTCTGCTCGTGCAGAAGAATCACAATGGGCTCATGTAGGAAAATGATGGAAAACTATGCTGCAATAACTATTGAGAACTAACACTGCCCCCTTGGATGCCTTTTTATTCCCTCTCAAGCATAATTTGTGAAGCTTGGTTTAATCCACTTCCAAGACGTACGAGGTTATTTAACTGTAATAGGTGATATCTTGGCAAAGCTAAAGGAATCCTGCACCCCACATTACTGTTCATGCCATCCCATCCCATCTCACCCCAGTCCAGCCCAGCCCAGCCCAACCTAGCCCAGCCCATTCTGAAAAAACACAGCTCCCTTGCTTGCAGTGCTCAGAATTAGACCTGGAACATCACATTCTCCTTTTCAGAAGGACTTTGGATTCTTGTCTAAAAACTGAAACTATGAAATAAAATAAAACTTACTCGCAAATCCCTTTTTTGGCTGCTATGTGAAGAGGTAACAGGCCATCCTTATTGGCTTTGTTAGCATCTGCTCCTTGGGACAAAAGAAACTTCACAATAGGTACGTGTCCATTTTTACAGGCTTCATAAAGAGCAGAGGCATTATCACTGGCTTGAGTGTTTATATCAGCACCTAGGAAGGAAGAAAATCTTTATGGCACCAAAAGGCTAAAATCAGATGGAACGAACATACTTTGGACGTGTATGTCTCCACGAAACTCAAGCTACAAAATGTTCTGGACAGGGATGTGAATGAGGTCATATCAGAGATGATATGGTCATATCAGTTATATGCAGTTATATCACAGAGTTCCTGGCTTTTAATATGATGTGACATTTGTGAGTGAGAGTTTAATGTGGGTGGAAACCATTAGCTCTCAGTCATGAATCCAGGCTCCATTCAGCTGTAGCTTAAAGGCAAAAAACATTAAAATGTGCTGTTCTTTATATAGCATGGCCTTTTCTCTAGACACAATAATTCCATTAATATTATATATATTATATACACTAGGTACATACACTGTTCCTGAGCAGGAGTGTGGACTGGTTGATCTCAGTAGGTGCTCTCAAAAATTCTATGGTTATTTATTTATGATATATATTTATTGATATTTATATATTTTATTTATACTTGATATATTCACACTACAAGTACATTTAAACTATTCATACTATATTTTAATTTTAGTACATATCCAGGCTAAAATAGAACTCTATAACATGATATCTACATGGTACCAAGGAACAATTCTAATTAGCTTTTAATTGGGCATGACTTAGTCAATGGATATTTCATTTCAAAACTCAGCACCTGACACCATATCGCTTCATTTCACGAGGGTTCAAGTTAGGCTCCAAATGGTAAGTTTTACCAAAAAATTATAAATATTATTAATGAGCTACTGGATTATTTGGGGCAATTTTTCTTGAGCTCTAGTGTGTGCTTGGCTTAATGAACAACATGCAAGAATAAACCAAGGCCTAATACTTTTTGGCCACAAACAATTTGGAATCTAGCTTTTTCTGTGCTAGATATTTAAGGTCTGAAAGCCTGGGTTTCTACTGTAATATACTGTACCATAGTGTCCTCAGGAAGGCTGTTCTATGTGTATCCTAAATGGGAATGACAGTTCTCTGGAGTTTTGCTTCTAAACCCCAACAAGGCAGCCAATCGGTTCCCTGATCACAAAAACTCCCTGCCAAAGAGAACATTTCCCTGTGCTCTCACCCCAAACCGAAACATCTGTGTTGTGTTTGGCCCTTTGAAGATGTTGTAGCTGGAAATATCAGAAGAATTGCAGTGACAAAACATAACACAGGACGATGTTCCTAATGAAAAAGAAATGAAAAAGAAACCCTTTTTCTGATGAACACTGCTCATCATAAACAACGCAGTGATATCATTCCTGGGATGCTCAGAGGAGCTCTTCAGGGCTTGAAAAAATTGGACAGTTTTATTGCATTTTCTCCTGTGTATTTTTCTCGAAATTGAACTTTAAGGAAATCCTAATATCTATCTAAGCTGAAACACAGATCACATTCTGGCTTAGTTTCTAAAACTGTAGGCAGTATGATAGGCTTAGAATAGTAGTAAACTATATTGTGCTTATTGTAAAGCTGTTCCACATGAATGAAGCACTAAAAGATAGGTTTAGTGTAAACTAGAATCAAATTCACTCTGTTTATATGTTGGAACACATACACATGGCGAGAGTGAGTCTGTTCTCCATTAACTATGCAGTAATACTTTATTTTCAGCTGGATTCATGAGTGGAGGAGAGCTAACCTTGCCCATCACCACACGTGTTCATGAGCAGATGGAGCTGGCTCATGTTCAACTTCTGCCATCTATTGCCACCTCCAGTTGTCTTTTAGGACTGATTGGATTTTAGGCTACATGTGTGCAGCAGTATGGGTTTTGAGAGCTGTCAGGCAATGCAGTTGCACCATATTACATCCCAAAATAGGCGACCATGAGTGAATGCTGAAGAACCATGTGTGTCTAGACCATGTGCTCTGAAAGTCCCGACACAATTCAGCCATCTGGAGCAGCAGGGCTTCAGCACCTCTGCAGGCTGGGCCTTTTGTTCAGAGACAGAAAAACCAAGCCAGGGAGAATTAATGGGAAATCTGAAATATTAAGGATGAAACGAGTAAAGGAATGTAACGGCACAACTGTACTCACCACATTTCGCCAGGTATCTCAGAGCTTCCAACTGCCCGCTCTCAGCTGCCACAAATAAAGAAGTGATCCCATAGGCGTTTGCAGACTCAATCTTGGCGCCTCCTTTCACAAGGATATCAATAATCTCCAGGTCATTTCGGGAGACAGCCTCATGGAGAGCAGTCCATCCTCGATTGCAGCGATGGTTGGTATCAGCATTGTACTGCACCAGGAGTCTCGCAGCTTCTGCGTTCTTGCGCTCGCAGGCTGTTTTGTATAAAAGGGAAGTGATTAGGACAGGCTTTTGAAAAGATGCTGTAAATTCTTGCAGTAAAGTCAATCTTTAGCCAGGACCTGGAGGAGGCCAAGTGTCTTGCGCAGGACTTGTGCCAAGCCTGGTACTGAGGGGCACCCAGCCCAGCACATTGGTACCAACTGGACATCACAGTGACACAGGGAGGTGACAAGGTGCAGGAGATAACTTATGAAGAACAAACATGTTATAGAAATCACAAGACCTGAACTCTTTCTTTCCAAATTCTGTGCTGCCCTGGACTGCAGATAATGCTCTACATAGACAAGAACATTAGGAAAGCTCAGACCAACAGTGGCCACAAAAGGATCCTTCAAAAACAATAATGCTGTGAGTTAGTAGCATTCTCTTAGTCTGCAACAGTGTACAGTTCAGGACCACCCTGAGCTAAAGGTATTTTCTTGATAATGGAGAGTATTTTGTTGATTTTTATTCTACTAATTTGTTCCATTGTTTTTTTGAATCCAAAATCATGAGGCCTCCTACACACTTTTACTGTGAGATCTGAAACCAAAGGTACCTAGAATATGCAGCCACTTTTACAACCCCCAACTAGCATTTGTTGTACAATGTGCAGAAACAGAGGCCAGCACAGTCCATAGCAGTTGTGGGTTTTTTTCTTTGAAATAGTAGTGCCTTTTTCTCACAGAGGTCCTGCCTTTTGGTTTTGATTCTTCCCTTGGGACATCACCATGGCTTCCTTTCCCATACATAGGTGGCACTCATGTGTACTGAAAGTAACTTTCTGATTAGGCACTGCTGTAATTACCTATGCATAGCTCTGCAGAGTTTCATTTGCTTCCATACTAGGGATGAACAATTTGTTACGATAATTTTTTCACTCCTTTTTTCCTGGAGAATAGACCAGAAGATTTTTGCATCAACACTAGCACATACTTAATAACAGGTTTTCTCTGGCTAAAGGGTGCTTTCATATTATTGTTATTATTATTATTATTGTTATTATCATTACTATGGCTGCTACTACTATTACCACTATTGTGTGTTTAATGCACAGTTGAACAGCTTTCCTTCAGCTGACTATAAGCCAGAAGTTTAAACTAAGGCATTTCAAACTGAGCAGCTCTAATGTCAGGCATCCAAAATTGGAGGCAAGATTACTGTTGAAAGCAGTAATATGTGCTTTTTAATGTTTTAGAGTGCTAAAAATAGTCTTGGCAGGAGCAGTCAATAAAAGGGGAAGGGACATGAAGGTGTGAGAGATCATTTCCTTCTCTGAATCTTTGTGATATCATGAATGTAATGCTGTTCTGCTAAAGAAAGTGTTCTCTCTGGCCAGAAATGTTATACGTCCATGCTAAACGCTTTACCTACTTCACTGAGTTGTTTCTAACATTATGTACCTTGCAGAGCACACAGCCTGGCCTGGCCCACACAGGATACAAATCACTGACATGTCTTCAGTTGCTGTACTCCCACCTCTAACAGCTTCTTAGGTCCTACTGTTTAGAAAAGCATACGTATTCCTGTGCTATCCAGCTTTCTGTAAGTTTGGGACACCGTGCAGACACCTTGTGCTTAGGATCCCTGATGTGGATGAGAAGAGAGGCTGTGGCATGGCAGGTCAGAGGCAGGAGATAGAGGGATACTGGAGGGAGGTAGAAGATAGAAGCTAATTGCCGAGTTTCAGCTCCACATCACAAGCGACCCTGCAGCATTTCCTTGGTGATGCCAGAAGAGCTCAGCATCCCTGGAAAAGCAGCCACTCACCTTTGTAGAGTGGCGTTTCTCTGGCCTTGTTGGAGATGTCAGGCTCGGCCCCGGCCTGCAGCAGGGTGAGCAGGCAGTCCAGGTTGCCCCGGCTGGTGGCCAGGTAGAGAGCTGTCTCCTCATTGAGGGTGCGCTGGTCAATTGTGCCAGGGTACGCTGTGGAGAAAGGGCAAGCCCGCAGTCATTATGGCATGTAGCATACCAGTATCTGCAGCACCATCACCTTTCAAAATCCTTGGAGTATTAGGTGACTTTTTATTGTTTCTTTCTTGGTTTATTTTCCTTTTATATGAACAACGTAAATTAATAATATACTATAAAGTTACTATAACTCAGATTAGTCACTGGCTTGGATTAAAACGTTTAGCTATGGCCGCTACTGATCCGGAAAGTTTGTGAGGTACTGCTGTAAGTTTTAGAGTCTTCAGTCTGGAAACCTATTCTCAAAGAGAAGGTGGAATTAATATACACTCAGAGAGGTTGAAAAAAAGCTTCACACACAGTCCCAGGGAAGGGTTGGGCTGCTGCTAATTCTGCTTTTTAGTTTATTCCTATTCTTCTCTCTTTTGTAACAAATTAGTTTTAACTTCACTGACCTTTTTGCAACAGGCTCAGACAACCTACTTGGCCATAGTAGGCCGCTTCATGGAGGGGTATCCAGCCGTCCTTATTGGGTTCAGAAAGGTTTTTTCCCGACTTCATCATGTTACAGACTGCTTTTTCATCTCCGTTCTTGATTGCTGCCACTACAGGATCAAGTTCCCTTTAAAACAAGATTAAAACCTGATTACTGCTTCCTTCATTACTGAGAAGCTTTTTAAAGCAACATCACTGTATCATTTGGCCAAAACAGTGAACCCCTACAGCCTATATGGCAATACGCATTTGTGGCCCTAGGGTGTCTTTCTATGAGGCCTGTAGAGGTAAAATTTGTCTGCTCTAATTTGACCATTCACAACATATCAGAAGAGTCACTGCTTGGAGGTGCTGATCTCTTTCCACGGAGCGTAAGGAAGCGTAGATGTGACTAATGTCCAATGTAAACATATGAATATTTTGTATGTCTGGAGTAGGGGAGACTAGCGCTACCCTTGAGCATCCATGGTGGTGATAATCACATCGCCCTGCCATTTGCTGTTGCGTGTCGCAAGGTGTTTCCATGTGAGACCTCTTAAATAATATCAGCTTTGAAGAGAATTGCCCCTGAAGAAAAATTGGAACTTTGATTCACAAGTGGCTTAGACATAAAGCAGAAATTATCAATAAATCTTGTTCTTGTATTTTAAACATGTTTCCTATTTCTCTTATACAAGCCTCTTTTCAGAAGTTAACTGGACCAGGTATGAAGAAGGGAGAACTCTACTTAGACTGTGTGAACATTAGGGTGTTAGTCTGGGAGGATAAAAAGAAAAATCCCCCCACTCAAATAAAACTCTGAGCTGCCCCTTGCGACCATGCCCCAGATATCCCCAGCTGTCATTTTGCCAGTGAGTACTCAAATTTTCAAAAATAATAACCACTTCAGACATTATAGACCTTCAAAAATGTCTCTTCAGTGTCCCAGTAAGACATGTTAAGTGCTGATCTCTTCTGAAAATCTGGTCTTTAGAAGCCTGCTTGGGAGCAGACCTGTTGGCAACATTGACAGAGTTAATGGGTCTTGCAGACCTCCTCGGCAAGTTATCAGTTCCCCAGGTAACTGCATCAATGAGGGGCCTCTGGGACCACAACTGGGACATGGTGCGCAACTGTGAAGTGGTTCATGCTACACAAAGATGGTCCATTTGAACCCAGCAAACCACCATCAGGCTCCACAGGGCCAAGCGACTTCTAGGCACAAGGAGGGAAAATGAATGAAAATATATTTTGGAGGTGGGAAATATTTTAAAGCCCCTTCAGAGCAGAAAGTGATTGAAATGTGTAGAATCACTAGAAAGTGTTAAAGTATTTCAGTGTTTACCAGAGAAAATAAAAATGAGAGTCATCTTTTTTGACACTACTAATTCTGAAGATTTCATGAAGAGGCTTGCTTTGAAAATCTACAAAAAGCATGAAGTGTGCTTCATGCCACCAACAAGCAGCCTACAACTGAGCTTTGCTTGACAAGCCTTCCCTTTGCCAAGCATGCACAGACGGGCAGCAACCCATTTCTCCAGACTATGTAAGACCAATGGCAAAGCAGGGCTGACCTGGGCACACCAGGCCTCCTGCAACAGCCACTGCTGGAGCCACAACACTGCCTGAAGGTCACTGCACCAAAACCATTTTTGGAGTTATTTTTCCACTAACCCAGTGAACATGGGTTATATTTTCAGAGGCAGAGAACAAGAGGATGTGGAAAACACAGAAGAGTTTGTGGTTTAAGTGAACTCTAAAGATAAAATCTTGCAGACTTGAATGCAGAGAGACTGGGGAGGGAGGTGCGTGTCTCAGGGAGACTGTTAACATTGCCAGGGTAGGAATGCAACATGTGATGAAGGTCATGCACGGCAGTGACGATGGGAACAACCAGAAACTCTGGTTATAACAGAAGGTCTAAAACACCAAAACAGAGTGAGATCAGAGACTGAAAAATACAAGCGGCTCAGCACAAGAGTCCTCAGAAAGCAGATCATTGGTACGACCTCTGCATTGAGTGCAGGCTACAGCAGCAGCGCTGGCTTTCATTGCCTTGCCCTGGCTGAACAGACCAACAGCCTGAAACTCACACAAGTGGCATTAATTTCAGCTTGACCAGAGGTACCCAGTCTGTCCCATAAACATTGATATTAACACTGAAAGAAAAGTCACCAAGCTGCTTCTCTGAGGATAAACTGAGAGCAGAAGCAGGTGAACACCACAGAGGTGCCAAGGAATGTGAAACACACCGTTTCCCAGGTGGAAAAGTACTTAGTGCCACTTGCTCCTTCCCTGTAGCTGGAAGCAGGGATCTCAAGGCAGCAGAGTCACAAAAATAGCAACACTGGAATGGGGGGAGATATGGGACACAGAAGCAAGCAGTTTGCCTAAGGAGATAACAGTGAGAGCAGGCATCTGCCTTCCTGGCCACAGCCCACCCAGGAGCAATGGATGCACCATTAATGCCAGGATGAGGTCCCAGGGACACTGCTGTGTCTCTGTGCTATTTAGAGAACCCTGGGGTCTAAAACTAAAATCGCTAGTTTTGTACAGATAATAGATTTTTATACAGGCACTGGAAATCGAGCATTTTGTTGAAGTCAGTTAACAGCAGCAATTGGCTGGGAGAGGAGGAGGATGTGGGGTATCTCTGTCACTAAAGCCTCTGGCACAAGGTGGCTGAAGCCATCTGTTGTTGTGGGCAAAGGTTCGTGTTACACACACAGGGCTGCTTGCTGCGACCTCAGGATTTGAGCACATGATAGAGTTACCAGTGCTTCATGAGTTACAGGGTGCCAGGTGGGCCATGGCAGGAGTATGTGCGTGGGGCTGGCACACAGCGAATGCGAGGTGAATCGCGTTAGCCGGGACCTCAGTGAAAGCAGAGGGTACCTCGGGTCTGTGATAGGGTTAAAAATGTGTGAAGAATCAGTTACAATTTTGCTGAAGCCCTCAGATGTTGAATGAAGCAAACTTCTGTCCATCTCCTTGACCTTAAATGATTCCCGGTTAAGATGAGGGGGTTTGCTGGACCAGGCTGCAGATGCTTTAGCCAAGCAAATTCCAGATCAGTACAGAAAGTTTAATGAATCTCCATGTGAAATCCTTGTTTTCTGCCTAGCTCACAGTTGGCTGTTATAAAAAACAACACTGCTGCTTGAATTTTGTCAGATATAAAAAAAAGGACTATCAGAACTATGGAGTAAGCCTGAAGATCTGATGAAATCTTAACCCTGTAGGCAAATCAAAAGAATTACTGCATTTCAAAGGCCAGTAGCTAAAATAATAAATACTCATTGCAGAAGAGATGTATGGTGGGGTCAACTCTGAGTGCTGCAGGAGAAGTTCAGTGGAGCACAGAAGGGTTCAGGAAGCTCCTTCTGTTCCCGGTAGCCTGGTGAGATGTGGGCAGCATGAAGGAACAACATCTCCCCAGGTGAAGCCAAGTGTCACCCCTGCCCAGCTCTGAGACCAGGGCTATAAAACAGTCATGCCATCATGATATCCTGGGGCTTCCCAGGCACATTTTTCCTCTCACCAGGCAGTAGAGGAGGGTTAGCTTATCAGCCTTATCCCAGCCTTGGTTGTGAGCTGAATTCTACTGAGCTATGTGATGGAGAAGAAAAGCCTGACCTCCAATGATCACACCTAGACCAAGAGAGAGATGCAAGGTGTGCAGAGCACCTAATGAGAGGATGCGATTTTGGTGTGGCCAAGGGGAGCTGAAAGGTGATAGGGTTGAGGGAGGCTCCTTGTTTCAGCATGAAGAGGTTTTCACATCTGTCTGGGAGGGCAATGTCAGTGAAGAGCTCGGAATGGAGACTGAATCAGGCAGGGTGCAGAGTGAGATGGGGGAGATTGTAGAGCTGGATCAGGGATGAAAGGAAGAAGAGTGGTGGAGGCGTAGCCACTGCAACTGTGCACCCAGGGAGGGACTTGTAAGGCAGATAAAACAAAGTGGATTTGAACTGGGTAGATAAAAAAAGCAGGGAAGAGTTTTCTGCAGGACACAGAGAAGTGCTGCCTACAGCACTTTCTTCTAATAGCTAAAGGCAGGTGCATGCAGCTACTGTGCCCCACATAAAGCTGTAATAAACCTATCTGGGTCCAGACATTTCCACTGGATGTAGGCAATGGGGCAGGGCTCAGGCCATCCCCTTGCCTGTCTGCTTTCCCCATCCATGTCTCTGCTCACCTAAGCTTGTTCACGGTCTGTGCCAACAGCAAAATGTGGCCAGAAGGATCAAAGTCAGCCAAGCTGGTTTCCTCCTTGGGCAGGTAGGATGTGGTACAGCTCCCCAGCAGCTCGCCTCAGTGTGGCAGGACAGTGCAGCTATTGTCAGGAATAGTCAGAAAACCTTGGGAGCATTTATAAAATATTTACTTTGAAGGGCTGGCCTTTCTCTCCCTGTTTATATACTTTAATAAAAATGTTTGTTTTCCCTACTCCTCTCCACTGTTAAACTTAATACCAATGCAGTTACTATCAGCACCTGCCTGCCTTATCTACCCTGTTGATGCAGGAGCCAGCCTATATAAATAAACCACAGCGCAGGCATCCCTTCCCTGCTGTCCTTGTCACCTCAGAGCTACAGAATGACCCAGAGTGCCCAGGACATGTACACTGGAGGGATAGAGAGGTATGAAGGGGGAGAAGAAAACAGGGGAGGTTTGGGGTGGGTCACTCACAAGAGCCTGGTTATGGTCCAGGGCATCTGGATGTTGGAATAAGAGTGGGAAGGCAGTGAGGGTGTGGTGCAGGTACCAGCAAGACCCTTCTAAGCAGTTCACAAACTCCTCCAGATGAACACCACCATTTCCCCCCACCAGACACCATCACCACCCAGAAGAGCAGGCTGAGTGGGAGAGTGGGTAAGAAGGCTTGTTTTGACCGCGGCGGAGGGGGGGAAACAGGAGAAGGAGGCACTTACACGGGCTGGGATGTGCTGAAGAGGCTGCTGTCGTACCTTCGCCTGACCCCCCAGGCTGCCCCCGAGCTGGACGGCTGAGTGCGGCCTCTCGACTGGGCCGCCAATCTGGAGTGGCGATGACATGAATGGAATAAGGAGAAATACTCCGAATAGGAGAAACAGGTCATGCTGAGGCAGAAACAGAGACACACATCCACAGAGAGGGAGCGAGCAAGCCTGCTGGTCGGGGCTTTGAATAAAAGCAGATGGCCACGGCTTGCTCTGCGCTGGATTCAGCTGCTTGCTCGGCTCGAGATTATTTTTGGCCCTCTGAGGAAGCGTCAGGGGATTCAAATGACCATATAAGACAACAGTGAGGTTAACCCTGCCGCCACCGCACAGGAAGCAGGCACGAGGCGAGGTGACATTCATCACCTCCGAAGTGCCACACAGGCAGGTTGGAGGCGGACGCAGAGGAGGACCCAGGGCCCCCAGGTGCTGGCTCCATTTCCAACCTTGCTATCCCAGGTGGCAGAAGAGTTCAGCAATGCCCCAGCACTGGAGATACAAGTGGGAGGTAAAAGGTTGCTGAGCTGAGGCAAAGGTGGGACAGGTTCATGCACAGAAATGCAGATGCTGCTTTTTGCCAAAATAGCAGGTGTCCAAGGGTCCTCCAAGGAGGACAGGGCTAAACAGCCAGGGAAGCCCTTCTTCTCCCCCATACCAGATCCCTGCAGCAGAGCTGATGGTACAAGTGCACGGTAGCGACGCCAAGAAGCGGGAGCAGGACTGCCTGCATCCCCAGTCTGCAGCAATGAAACACACTCCCTGCTCAGCAAACTGCCCCCAGCTCCCCAAAACGGAACAGTCACAGGTGGAAATGAGTGAGGTGTCAGAGGACAGTGGGGCTATGAGAAATATGAAGGAACAAAACTTCAGTTGCTCCCAGCTTGTTAAAAAAAAATAGTTTAAAATGATAGTTTTCTATCATCTTCCTTGGCTTTGGGGTGACTTTGTAACCTCTTTCTCCCCCCGCCCCCTCCTTGAGAAATCTGCCTTTTGAAAAATGAAAGGAGAACAACGTCTGGTTTGGAAACTGCCAGCAGGCCTCTGTAACCCACAGCCCCGTGTCACAGGGGAGGGGGGTGCCGCCACTCTTGGCTGAGCATGATGTGCTTCTGATCCGAAATAACTACATCCTTTAAAGTCTCTGCAGCATCTAAAAGGTAGCCAGCTCACACTGTTTTATATGCCTGCTCTTGGCCTCTCTCCTGTGTTTTCCCATAAAAAATGCTATGCTCCCCGTGTGGCAAAACCCAAGCAGGGTACAGAGAGAAAGGGGCTGCTGCCTTCAGCAGGCTCGCTTTCGTTCAGAAAAGCTTGTAGCAGTGCCCCTTTTCTTATTTTATTTGTTGCTTAGAACAAGACAACAGTGAGCAAATTCTCATTTTGTTGTGAGGGCGTAAATTGTTGACCTCATGGGATTTATAGCAGACTCCAGCTTTCAAACTAATGACAGACTCGCAGAGCGGCCGCTTGGCAAAGCTAATTAGAAAGCACGTGTTTTGACAGAGGAGGCTGTTTTGCTTTTCCCAGGCAGGGTGCTTTTCGGGACGGAATGGCTCAGGCAGGCGCTCACTCACCTTTGCCATGGGTAGATGTGGTAGGGTGGGTTGTGGCTGCTGGCGCGGTTGGGGGCGACCGCCTCGCTGGGACCGGCCACCATCGACTTCTGGTGGCTCTGGGCAGCTGATTGACCTGAGGGGTCCTCTTCCAAGCTCTGCTGGATGGCCATCTTTATAAGTTCATCTTCACTCAAGCTGCTGTACAGGCTGTATTCCTCACAGCCTATCGTTTGTCTTTGCGCATTTGCTGCTGTTGTAGCCATTTCTTTTTTCACTTTCCTGTAAATGGAAATTGTGATCATCAAAATCTGGAAAATGAAAGAAAGAAATGCAACTATCTCATGCTTTTGTTCAGCTCTGATCAGAAAACCCTTCAGAAATCCTTCACCAGGGAGAGAACATTATCAGCTAAAATCTGCATGTAAACTGAATGAACTAACTCCTTTCTATCACATAGAAGTATCTGATTTAGCTGGTGTTCAAAAAAGGGAAGGGAGCTGCTGCAAGCAAGGCAGGTTTTCATCTACTTGTTCTGGTTACCACAGCTCAAGAAAAATTAGGTAAAGGAAATCCCCATAAGATGAAAGAGATACAGCTTTGAAATTAATTTATTTAGGAGAATGCCAATTGATATATCTTAGTTGTTTTTTTGTTTTGTTTGTTTTATTTCTTGCGCTAGTTGCAGAAAATTAAGGGAAGAGTCTATCTGTTTGCCAGCTTTCTGCAAGGGCAGGCTCTTCACTGTGAAGTGTAAAGAGATGTAGAGGAGTACTTTTTTCCACCTTATTTGGATATCTCTTGAGCAACATGCAAAGCTCTTCTTTGAAGTCACTTTCTTTGTTTCACTCCACTGGGAGATCAACACGAGACTGCTCAGTTTCACTTCTGAATTTCACAGAACAGAGTTCAAGGTCATGAGTTTTATGACTTATGGTCAGACTTTTTTGTAAAAACTGCTGGTTGAGAACTGGAAATGAGAGACAGGGCACACTCAGTAATTGCAGAATGACTGTGAACCATCACCGCAGCGTGGGCTCAAAAAAAGCAAAGACAATCAAAAATACTGTGGTCTTTCCAGCAGTGATAGGGAAGAATTAATACCATGAATGTTTGGGTGCTCCAGCAGGACCCCATCCTCTGTTCCTGGCAGAGCCACCCAACCTCCTGCTGCTCAGGACCTTCCTTCCACCACACTGGGCACCACTGACGGCAAAGCCTTCAGCTCCTCTTCCCCACAAGACTGCTCTCTCTTTTGGTAGCTCCCCAAATGGTGATGAAGCCATATCTATGCATGTCAAGGCACTTGTGTTTGTTTCTTTAACCATAATTTAAAAAAAAAAAAAAGAAAAAGAAACTAATACAACTTGAAGAAATTGCAAGAGCTTGAATCAAGTCATAAATAACATAAAACTTTCGATTTAAGCTTTTCACTTCAGAAATGGTGATATCTCCCATATCAACAGCCACCTCAGACTCCAAGCACACCCCAGAAGAAGTGGGAAGAGCTGAGGGTAACAGAAAGCTCAGCAGATTTCAGATTGGCATTTAACTTTTAACAACAAAGGATGTATTTTACAGCCATGAATACCACCAAAATAAAACCTTCTGTTGCTGTAAATAATGCAACCCAATTTTGTTGGGTTTTTAAAAAATTATTCTTTTTAGCCAGATTTTTCATGGCTGCTGTTGGTTACCTTCTCCGGAGAGAGCTGGTGTGCCCCAGCTCTGCTATGACCCTCGCTGTTCCAAGGAACCCAGCTCTATAGGGAGCTGCTGCCTGCCCTGCACCCCAGCCACTCTGGTACCTGTCCTTGGCTGTGCTCCATCCCACAGCTGGCCAAAAACCATGACGCAGCTTTGTTTTTCCTAGCAGCTTCTGCTGCCACTTGGCTTGCTCAACTCCTGGCATGCCAGGGTACATACTCACTCAGTAACTGGTGTGCTGTGGATGCGAGAAACCCACGGGCTGGAGTCAGAGGGCTTGTCTGTAGCATCTAGCACTACACCACGTAAATGTAGGGACTTGGCCTCAGTGGTGACTCAGAGACATAAACTAAGCTGTTAATGGAGGGGGGCAGGATCTGGTTGTAAGCTCGTAATGGAGGTGATGCACAATGAGTCTACAGAGGAGGCAAGAACAGAGACGAAAGTGCTCTTCTCCAAGGGCAACATGTGCCAGTGGAGCATGGGGCACAGATCCCCCCTCTTTACCTTCCCCAGCCCCACCGCCAGCATCCTGACAGTCCAGGAGACAGAGCAGCCTCACCGGGTGCTGGAGTCCCTTCATGGGCAGCCAGGGCTTTGAGGAGCGTACAGGAGACCACTGCCAAAGTGACCCCACACTCTGGCACAGAGGAGCTCACTGAGTCACAGGTGTCTCACTAAATACCCAACAGTTCTAGGTGTAACAGCCATTTCTAGACATCTTCCCCTCCCTCCTTCTTTTGTTTCACACCTCATTGAGGCACGGGGAGGGAAAAGGAAGATTTTGAGTTTGGGGATCACTCCTATTTCACCCTCTTAATCTTTATACAGTTTCACTGGGTCTCACCCACTCTCAGTGAAATGGGAGAACCTCCCCTGCATGTTGGTGATTCTCACTAATCTAAATATTTTGACAGGAGTCCTATGGAGTGCAGAAACAACAGTGCTGGCTGCAGCTCCCGCCACTGACTCATCCTGCAGGAAGAAACACTGAGGGGCCCAAAATAGCAAAAGCTTTCAGTTCTGCTCATCTAGCTGGCACAACCCCAATGCAGGTGTGAGGGTCACATCCTGGGGCTGCAGGAGCTTTTAGGTTGGTCCTAATAGCCAAGGACAGCCTTTGGCTGTCCTGACCCCTTGTAGAGATGGTTCCAGTTTAGCTTCAAGCCTTTCTGACTTCCCTTCACCTGTCCCCCCTGCCTTGGACTGACCTGCTTGGTGTGTCTGAGTTTGGCAGGAGATACGAGGTGTGCCTCCTCCATACAGCTCCACATGTGTCAGTCCCGAGCAGAGAGAGCAGATCACCACCCTTCCCTTCCCTTCCACCTGGAGATGCTGCTGTGTGGAGCTGCAGAGTCACGAGGCTCAGGTGCTGGTTCAAGTTATTTCTGTAAGAAGCCCCAGTGAGCCAGCTGAGCTGCAGTAATGGGCAGAGCTCGTGTTCTCAGCTGGAGGCCAATGCAGCACAGCCTGGTTCAGGTCAAACTTCCACTGTGGCTGAGCTCGGTGGCATCTCCTGGTGCTGCTGAAGCCTCCCAGACCTACCCTGGCTCAGCTGAAACAGCAGGGCTAACACAACCCCTCTATGGCCAGTGGTGAACTACCGCAACCTTATGAAAGCCCAATAGATAGAATAATGCACTGTAAGCTGCTGTAATGAAGATGTGAAAAATAAAAATCAATCTTTGTTGCTAGGAATGGTTGAACCAGTTTGGATAAGTACAATCCGACTAAAGATTGGGCTGAGACCCTGGCCCAGGTTGCCCAGGGAAGCTGTGGATGCCCCCTCCCTAGCACTGCCCAAGGCCAGGTTGGACGGGGCTTGGAGCAGCCTGGGCTGGTGGAGGTGTCCCTGCCCATGGCAGGGGTTGGACTGGATGGGCTTTAAGGTCCCTTCAACCCAAACCATTCTGTGACTGTGATTCTTTAAAGTGGTCTTTCTAAATGCAGCTTGAATCTGTTTGCTTGCTCTAAGGCTGCTCATTGTAAGTTTAAATTATTGTAATCAGATTTAGAAGTTAAATGCTGGGTTTGCTGTTGATCCTAACTTCAGTTTTTTGGGACAGATTTTACTGTTTGGCTCTGCCCTGCATTTCTCTGCAGGCCTAAGAGCCCATCCCCACACGCAGGTAGCACAGAGCATTGCATGTGCTGTGGGAGCAGAACCTGATTTTCACAGGTTCTTCTACCTGATTTTGCCCTAATTATTCCTAAGATATTAATTATTATATTATTTCAGATCTGAACAGCTCCATTAGTGCTCTCTTGGCAGGGACATGTCTTAGGACACTGCTGCCTGTGCTGCCATTTAATAGCTCAGTCTGACATGATCTTCTGGATCTAAATTTATCATCATTCCCACCCAGGGCCTGATCCCGATTCCTAACTTCACCATGCCTATTTCAGGGAGAGTTTGTTTATTTAGATGCAGAAATCAGGCCAGTGCCATGCAGAGGTAACTTGGCTGCATCCTGTGACCAGAAGGGAAGGTTTGAAGTGAAACAGCTGTACCTGGCAGCTCTTTGAAACCAAAGGTATTACTAGCCAGGATGACTATCAGTAACCACTTACTTTATGGCAAAAGCCACAGCCAAACACAATTAGGCTGCTGTTATATTTGGACTACAAGCTCCGTCAACATACAGTGCTGGGGAGAACAGGTCTCTGATCCCTGATGCGACATAAACAAACAGCAAGGATTACAGCTGGCTTTGGATGCACAGCACCACGCTATTCAATACCATTAGCATCTGAAACAACTGGTCTCCATTGATAGCCCATCCCCACAGAAAAGCTTAGCCAGGCTGCCTGTCCCCCTTCAATAGATCCCAGGCGGCAGAATTAGCAGAATTACTTCTTGCTGTCAGAGGAGGGTGGCAGGTGAGTGACAAGGTCATTCTGGGAGCAGAGCCAGGGGCTTCGCCTGCCTCTGCACCGCATTTACCCCAGTCAGCTTGTAACTCAATACAGGACCTCGGTATTTATGGCTCAGGGCGCGATAAGCCCCATTTCTGAAAACAAAAACAAGTCTTTGGGGGCTGCAAAGGAGAGAGAAGAGGAGCGGCTTGCTCCTTTTGGTTTTTGTGAGGAATGGTGGAGCCCCAGCCTCTGCAGATATGTGTTTAGCTTTCCATGTGTTTGCCTTTTTACTCCTGAGAGCAGCAGGAGCACACACAGGGGTAGGTAACACAGCTGGGAGTCTTCACCCAAAACCAAGCCTCCACTTCAGCTTCTACTGCAACACCTTTCAAGCCAGATCCTCTGCAGGCAATGGAAACCAGACCAATTTGCAGCACTTAAAGTACTCACATTTTTGCTGTGTTTTAGGTTAGTTTCCAGATAAATCTTTGCGGTTCTCAAAGAATATTATATTGGATAACTACTGCTGGGAAGCAAATGATTCTTTTAAAAACCTAGAAAGACTTCAGTGCCCATCAGATCTGCCAGAGCCAGGACATTAGAAGAATGACACCTCATGCTGTCCAGCTGCGGCAACAGGCAAATATATTTTGTAATGACAGCTTATGCAGACTGCTCAAGTTCTAGCCCGGTGCTGAAG